TTTTTAAAAAAAAAAAAAAAAAAAAAAAAAAAAAAAAAAAAAAACAATGTTCAAAAAACGATAATGTCTTTACACGTTGGAGCATGGTGCAACAGACTTTGGCTTTAGCTTTATACTTGTCTATGTTTTTTCTTTTCAATATTAACCCTTTTGGATTTGACATTATTGTTCTTCCTATTTTAACCCTCTAAATCAAAGTTCAAAACTTACCCTTTCAAGCTAGGGTTTTTATGCTTTCTTTCCTCCATGGAAAAAACCGTCCAGGGGTAGTAAGGGTATTAGAAAGATTGACAGCTCGAAAAAATCGAGAAACTCAATCGAATCTACTTAGTATAGGTTGGTTCGACTCTCAAATCTATAGCCGTAAGTTATAGGTTGATTAAGCTTTACTCATCTTTAAATTAGGTTTACTATTCTCTTCCTCATGCTCATGTCACACTCTACCGTTCTCTAGTTTTCTCTCTTGCCTAACTTGATGTCGATATTGAAAGCTCTCACTCATGCCTTCACGTTTCTCTATTTATCATTTTCTCTCTCATCTGATACCAACATTAAGAAAGAAGAGGAGTCATGAAAATTAAACCATTCCAACCAAATTTGTACTTGTTAGTTTAGTTTGAGTTCACAATTTAGTAAGGTACCGTCTGGAATAGAGGCAAAATTCATTAATGCAATATTTTTTTTTTCTTATCATCTAGGACAACATGTAGGGTACAATCCCATCATCCACTAATTGGTAGATATTGTACGTTTTGACCAATTACACATCGCCGTCAGCCTAGGGAGAGATTTTCACACCCTTATAAGAAATTCTTCGTTCCGATTCTCAACCGAGGTGGGATCTCACCCTCAAAATACCCTAAATTCAACTCAACCAATCCGACTCAATTCACAAACACCGCTACATGATTCCTTAGTTGGTTCACTATGAATTGACCTTTGGTGCAAAGAGTATCAAAAGTTGAGTTATTGGATTCCTTTCAGAGATTTATATAAACTAATATAGAGAGATAATATATATATTTAGGGTTAGTAGTGAATGTGACTAGAATGTAATATGTTATTCTATATGGAGTTTCTATTTTTTTTTTTTTTTTTTTTTTTGGGTGGGAGTACATTTAGTCCCACAAACTCATTATTGATTATTGTTTTTAGTCATGGAAGCAACTAATTATGTGGTTCTGCTGCTAGTGATGCAGAAATTTTGCAGNGACCACAAAATAAAAAAGTTATGATATGACACAAAATGGAAAAAAAGAGAAGAAAAAAATATACATAAGACAAGCATGATCAAATGCACTATTTTACCACATTTTTATCCTCTTTAGTGAAATTTACAAACAAAAAGAAACCCAAATCTAGCATCATGGGGTTTTTCTTTGTTTTTCTTTTGGGTATAGATTAGATTCTTTCCACAAATTTTAAATATGTTTATATATATATTTTAGTATAACAAGAACACGAGTAGAAGAGATATTGTTTTTTTTTTTTATTCGTATTAATGGGAAACTCGTGTTATACGATTCTTCCCATTCGATTGCGTAGCTTTGTTCACTTAGGCTAACTCATAAAAGAATCAACTACGTGTTTATATAGATTGGGTTGGAATAGGTTCCCAA